GCTGTGACACAAGGCGCTGTGACACAAGGTGTTCTGCTGATCGGTTCAATCAGCAGAACACCTTGTGTCACAGCTCCGAAGGAATCCGGAAAGCTGCAACGCTCCTAAAGAATGATAAAGTAAAGGAAAACATAGAATATCCTGGATTTTGGAGAATACCACAGTGCAGTTTAAATTATAAAAATACAGACCTTAACTGTATATTTATGGCCGGGGTTTTTCGATCCTCCACGAGTGGGGTGGGAGGGGGAGGGGGGATTCAAATTGGATTTAGGCCTCTCGTGAAACTTAGCTCAGGCAGCGCACACACTACGCCGGAGAAAGTTGAAAACGCAGCTCTGTTTCTACGGATAAGCCTATCGTCCACATTAATCCGTCAAGAAAAAGGAACTTTTCGAAAACGCTCTTGAAACCGGAGGAATTTGAGAACGGCAGTTTTATGTTTTCTCGTGGACGGAAAACATTTTGAAAACGGAGCTTTTCGAGACCGATGGCATCACGATTATCATGTGATTTCCACGACCGAGTTTTTCTCAAACACAAATCCAAACTGACAGTTGATTGAAGTATTTTTAATTTTCTGCTGTGTAGTGTGGACGGGGCCTCACGTAGATCGTCACACGGGATGACGACATCATATCACGTGGTGATTACGACTAGGGCTTGCCATAAGTTGCTCGGCAACTTTTTGGCAACTTTTCGTATTTCGAGCAACGTTTTTCGTTTCGAGCAACTTTTTGCATTCTGAGCAATTTCTAGTTTTCTAGATATCGAAGCAGCTTTTAGTGCTGTAATTGGCCATATATACTTCCACATTTTACAATGTTTCAGTAGACAACTTGTGAATTTCTTTAATTTTTTAATTTTTTTTAATATATATTTCTTTAAATTTTTGTTAAAAGAAATGTTAAAAAATGTTTTAAAAAATTTTGATATTGATGCGTAGTATTTGCTCATACGTATTGAGAACCAATTTATCTAGCGACGCTGGTTACATCGCAAAATTGCACAAAAATGCTTATAAATGTTACTTTTGTTGCACAGATTGCATATTTTTGCATCAGACCAAATAAAAGAAGAGAGAAACAAAAAAGTTTTGGCTTTTTAGCAACTTTTGACTTTTTGGAGCAACCTTTGAGCAACTTTTTGAGAAATTTCGGGCAACCGTTTGGGANCTTTTTTCGTTTCGAGCAACTTTTTGCATTCTGAGCAATTTCTAGTTTTCTAGATATCGAAGCAGCTTTTAGTGCTGTAATTGGCCATATATACTTCCACATTTTACGATGTTTCAGTAGACAACTTGTGAATTTCTTTAATTTTTAAAATTTTTTAATATATATTTCTTTAAATTTTTGTTAAAAGAAATGTTAAATAATGTTTTAAAGAATTTTGATATTGATGCGTAGTATTTGCTCATACGTATTGAGAACCAATTTATCTATCGACGCTGGTTACATCGCAAAATTGCACAAAAATGCTTATAAATGTTACTTTTGTTGCACAGATTGCATA